AAACTGTATTTGCATCTTGTATTTTAAAACACTAATTGGCTTTTTGAAATATTATTAACGCAATTTTATACACATAAGTTTACTTTTAGCGCCTAAAAAAAAATTCCTCACTTTCGGTTTCTCATAATGGATGGTGCCCTTCAAGTTTAACTTCTTTAGAAGTAATTTTTTGCAATTTGTGTTTATATTTTGTTACTTTAGTTAGAGTTATTGGTAGTTTAAAAATTTTATAAAATTGGAGGTAAAAATTGCATAATAAGTCATCTTGCCCCGGTCACGTGACCAAATGACAAATTTATGAACATTTTATTTTAATATTTATTTCAAATTGCTATATTTGCAAACTGAAAATTCTTGCAGGTAATGAAAGAATTTAATAACATAAACATACTGAGAAAGTATTATGGCTTCACGACTGATAGTTTTGCAACAACTCAGGGCTTTCAAAACGTTCGCCATGTTGCCCCACTTTCCCCTATATATATATATATATATATATATATATATATATATATATATATATATATATATATATATATATATATATATATATATATATATATATATATATATATATATATATATATATATATATATATATATATATATATATATATATATTTATTTATACATATATATATATATATATATATATATATATATATATATATATATATATATATATATATATATATATATATATATATATATATATATATATATATATATATATATATATATATATATATATATACAATAATCTAAATATAAAAAAGATAATGTGCAGGAGCGTCTATTATCACCAAGCCTCATGAACCAACCTCCTCCCTTTAGTTCCCCAAAGAAGCGCTTTGTTCAAAGCGCGTATTGCCAAGATGTGAAGCGCGACGCGCCAAACTTGGCAATGGCTAATATTAATGTTCTAAGTGTCATTATCTGAAAATTCATCAAACTACTTCATTAAACTTTGTGTTCATCCTCTAATAGAGCTATCACTTTTACTAAATACAGTTATTCCTTTTTTCTGTAAAACCATGCTTCCCCCAACCCCCCACCCCCCACCCCCACCCTCTTAGGCTTTGCTATTTTGTTTACTACCTAGTAAATTAAAATAATAATTTTTTTTTACGGAAATTTTAATCAAATTTTCCAACAACTTTATTTGTGATTTTCCATTTTTATGTATTTTTAGATGAAGTATTATAAAATTACCTAAATATAAAAAAGATTACGTTTATAATTCTTTGCAGTTTTGCTTATTTTCTAAGAATAAAGTAGTAAAGTCAAATTTTTTTATTTGAAAATTTCCGGTAATATTCCGTAAATTTCCGGTAATATTCCGTAAAATTTCCGGAAATTTTCATCACTACTTTTTACTTTGTTTATTATTTGGGAAATGTTTGTTTTATACCTAGTTAATGTTTAGTTTTAAGTAATGCTCTTTGATCGGAATCATTCATTTTATACTAAGTAATTTTTAATTATATTTTATGAAGTGGTTAGTATTAAAAAATGTAAACCGTAGTAGTGGAGTTATTTGTTTTTTACATTTTATATATAATTACATTATATACCCTTATTCTGAAAATGTCGTTTTATAATAAATTAATTTTTAATCACAATTTATACCGTTGAAGTGGGTTTATTTGTTTAATATCTAGTTCACAATTAATTCAAACTTTATACCGTTTTAAATATAGTTTATGTACAATTATAACTTTTACCGCTTTCTTTGAGTAATACGCATTATACTTTGTTTATACAAGTTAACTATTGATTTCGTTTTAGTGGAGTTATTCGTTTTAAAACTGTATAGTCTATAAGAGGAGTTCTTTGTCTTATATTTAGTTTATATTTGAATATAATTTATCCCGTTTTCGTTGAGTAATTCGTATTAAGTTTAGTTTATACTTAGGTTGAATAAAATTGTAGTTTATATCGTTATAGTGAGGCTATTTATTTTAAAAATGTATACCATTTTAACGGAGTTATTTGTTTTTTTTTAAAAATATACCATTTTAATGGACTTATTTGTTTTATACCTAATTTACATTTAACCATGAATAATACCCTATAACTGGAAATATTTATTTAACGCCAGTTTATATTAAATCAGGAATAATGCCGTTAACATGGAGTTTGTTTGTTTTATACTAGCGCAAATATAATTATAACTTATACCGTTTAGCTGATCGTTTTAGTAAATTTGTTTTATAAAAATATGCGGCGTTTTAGTAAAAATATTTCTTTTATATTTAGTTCATATTCTCAAATAGCAATAAACAGAATAAATCTGTATACCCCCAAGCAACATAAACCCGTCAGCCTCAGACGAAAAATAGTAAACACCCAATTAAAACTATAAGAATTCATAAGATACATATACAAAAACTTTCTACAAAAACCAAAACAACTGTTTATAATTGCCACCTTTATGGTAATCATAATGTGTTAAATCAAACACCACAATATAACAAAATAACTTAATTTATTAAACATACAATAAAGCAGAAGTATCACAAAAAACATCAAAAACAAACATTTATTATAACTGGGAGAATGCGCGCATATTTACTTAACAAAAGAGTATAAAAATATATCAGCGTTAAGTAAAATTTAAAAATTATGTAGTACCAGATTCTCGTCAGGAAATGGATATAGTATTGACCCTTTCAATACTCAATACTCATTGACCCTTTCAAGGATTCAATACTCTTGTATATGATGTTTTGAATGTTTTAATGCTTATTCCTAGAAACCAACGTCGGGGTATCATCCTCAAAACAAGCAAATAAAACCCACCTCTACATCTGCGTCAAAGCGTTCTTATGTTGCAACATTTTAGAGGACATACTACTACTCAGCCAAATACCCTTACTTGTTCCATTTTAAACAAAGTACGCTGATACACTTTTAAGAAAGTTAATAAAACACGTTGCGCAAGAAGTAATATTAGGAGACAAAAATTTATAAATGACATTATTCCTAAGTTTTAAAGTACAAATTTAAGGCAAATCAACACAAAACGTAATCCGAATGAACAATTCGTTTTAAGTGGTTTTTACAGCTATCACCGACTATGCCTGGACCACGTACTGCATGTGTAGAACTAGATTGACCTATACTCATTGTCTCAAAATTATATTAGATGTATAGACACATCCGTAATACGATGTGTGTCTTTTTTACTGTTTTTGTCTATATTTATTTCATTGTACACTTAGATACTTTTCTGCTGATCTATTTTTTGTGTGAGGTGTTAGCAATAAGAACTACTCACCAACGTAGACGAATCGTATATGTTCCGGGTAATCCGACTTATCGGTTCGTCCTAATTAGTTCTTCGAGCTCTCATCTTACATACCAAGATCATGAACTGCATGATTTGACTTATAACAATCGACTCAGAAAAATACTAGTTGCATTGAAACATTTGTCAAACGTTGCATGTTTTTTTTTACTGTAGTTGTGGATATTCAGGTGTACTCTTAAACGCTGTTCTGTTGATCTCATGACTGGGTGGGATGTGAGCATTAAGTACCTCTTACCAACAGGTCAATGAATTGAGGATGTTCCGGGTAATCTGACTGAACAATTCGTTCTAAGTGGTTGGTACAGCTATCACTTATTATACCTGGATCATGAACTGCATAAGTCAAACTAGATTAACATATACTAAATGTCTCATATTTGTTTGAGTTGCATGGATACATCTGTAATATATTGTGTCTTCTTTACAGTTTTTGTGAACTTTTTTTTTTTTATTGTTTATTTCTTTAATAACACTTTTGTTGAGCTAATAACATTTTAATAACACATTTGTTGTGCTCTTTATAAACAATTTTCCTGAAGTTCTAAAAAACATAAGCAAGCTGAATGCAGATGACACCAAAATTTTGAATGAAACGCTTTACTGTGCATCAACTCTTTCTTTGCAATAAGATCTCGATTTAGTTTTTCAGTGGACTCAAGACTGACTAGTGAAATTTAATATTTTAAAATGTATGGTCGTGCACTTTGGTCGGAATAACAAAAAAATAATGTTAAACTCTTTATATCAAAAATCACCTTTTTATATCAAAAGTTAAACATAACATGATCTTAGAGTAATATTCTCAAGCAACCAGAAATGGAAAAATTATGTAATAAAATGCGTAGACAAAACCAACCAAATGTTGGGTCGGATTAGAAAATGCTTTGTTTGCTTTGATATTAGACTCCTAAGAATACTTTATGTTTCTTTTGTGTGACTACTATTAGAGTTTGCAGTACCAGTTTGGTCACCTATTCAGTGACCAAACTGGTACCTGTAAAGAGTGAAATTGATTTATTAGAAAGAGTCTAACATTGCGCAACTCGGTTTATACCATCACTTAAAAAATTCCACTATGAGAGTTTTCTAAAAGCTCTCGACTTGAATACCTGAAAAAAAGGATACAAAGAGAAGAGATGATTCAACTTTTTAAATTCTTTAGCGGTTTAATAAAATTTAAATTTAAATCAATCATTCATTCATTATAACTAATCATCAAATTATCACTTATCATCAAATCATCATTATAACCAATCGTTTACTTAATAGTTTCCGTGTCATTATTTTTCCTTATATATTCATTAATTATATTTTTTTACTTTGAACCTTTTGAAAGCACCAACTCACCTTAACTTATAGATAAACATATTCAAACGCACGGGGAATAACTCATTTTTATTTAAAAAATGACTTGCCCGTTTTGGAAGCGTACTCCTCATATTTTATTTGCGTAATAAAAAAAATTCTATTTTATCTCTATAGAAATTGTTAATTTTAATTTTTTTGTTTAATAAAAAATAAAGATAAATAGTCAAGTATATATAGCATAGAAATAAAAAAAAGATAAATATAAATAAATGAAAGTTTTAAAAATATTTAAAAATTTGCCAAAAGTTACCAAAAAGCGATTTAAGACTTAACAGTTTATATTTTTTATATTATAAGTAAATGTAAGATTCTTAAGTAAATTATCTAAAGGGTATTGTTAGGCAGTTGTTAGGCGTTTGTTAGGTAGTTGTTAGGCGTTGTTGGGTAAATAAAATCCTTTTTGTTAAGATGAATTATATCAATTCGTAAACAAATTTGACCAATCAAAGTGCTATAACTATGTTCTGCAATATTTAAAATAAAAATAATTTTTTAACAAACATGTAAAATTAGACGTTTACAATTACAAATATGATAAAATTATAATTTTATCATATAATTATAACATAATTATAATACTCAAACAAATAACTATTATATGTTTGATTTAAAATACGTGACCACCTGAAAACGATTTTTAAGATAACAAATGGCTTCAATTGTTTTGATTTTTAGTATTATAAACGTAAATAAATAAAGAATAATTATAATAAAGGTAACTTTGATAAAAAACGAATTCGCAATGTTCCCATTTTCGAAATTTGTCGTTGTCGGTTACTATAGTTGCTGGGTTGTTTTCTCTTTTCTGATTTAAATTTTTACTTGATCGATTACAATTTCTCCGTTTGTGTTTTGAACAGTAGTAAACAAACTTTTTCTTTTTTTAGTCTCGTGAAACCTATAAAATATATTTCTGGCCTTTATAGTAGACAAATTTTTCTTCAATGCTTTTTTAAATATATTAATTGTTTTTGTGTTTGACACGTAAACAGCAAGAAGTATGGCGCCCCTAAAACTTCGGAAAAATGTGTACAAAAACAATACTGTACGATTCATTGCATCACTTAGATCTTTATCTTCAGTGTGTTGAAAAAAACCAATTGCTTCCGGAAGACCAAGAATAAGCACTAATTTAATAACAACTTTTGACAAACTCATATTTTTTGAAACGCAACCATACATCATTTTTTGCGACCTTTTCACAACTAGTAAAACATAAATTAGAAGCAGAATAACTATTCCAAAGAAAACACCTATAGGTATCACATAAAAGATTAAGCGGGCGTAATTTCCTACAATCCAACATATACCGTGATCACCGTAGCCGACATGAAATGGTAAATTAAATTCATTTAAAGTGAATGAAATACCAACTAAAATAGAAGGAAGTAGTATTGAAACAGCGCAGCTCCTGAAAAAAAAAGTCTTTTTAGGTACATAATTTGTTTTAGAAACTCTCAACATAAGATCGATTGCAATCAAAACAATCCAAAAGTAAGAAATCAATAGCGTCCAATGAAGAAAAATTCCCATGAACTTGCAAGCTAAAAATTGAAAACTAAACGAAGCAGTGATGCAATATATGCTGTCAGAAAGCCACAGAAAAAAACACATAGCGCAAATGTTTAATCCAGCGACAGTCTTTAATTCTTTAAACAAAAAATACGTTCCCATGATAAACATATAACAAACAATACTAGTTGGTGTCCCAATGAGATAAATATACTTTTCAATCATTTTTATATTGTTGATCCATTTTTTTTCTGCCGCTTTCACTTGTAAAATTTGGTTGCATTCTCTAAATCCGTTTGGTGTGATCTGATATTGAAAAAAGTCCAACTTGAATTCTTTGTTTAAAGTGTTATTGTAGTATATTACGGACATATTTTCGTCAATTTTAAATTTATTTATTATAGTTTTTGTGCAAACAGTAATCGAGCTGTAAAAACTCTTGCAAATACTGACACGTCGGTTAACTATACTTAATTGATTTCTATTGACTTCATTGAGTTTATACCAGGTTGCAATTTCAAAGTTTTTGTATTTAATTTGTGTTTTATTGCAACATGAAGTAAGTTTTAAATCTGATGATTCATAAACCTCATATTCTGCGCATACTTTATTTTCTTTTAAGTTTTCAGCTACGTTTATTCCACGCGACACATTAATACTACTCGACATATTAACATCATAAACTTGCTTAAAACTATGTTTATTGGCAATGTATCTGCTTTTTAAGCCATAAATGTTATAAATCTCTAAAATCCATATTGTGGGCTGATTCACTTGATGATTGGCTTTTTGAAAAGTAGTTAAAGAAGAAGTCGGTTGAAGTAAATTTGGCGCGCTAAAATCTTGGTTACTAAAAAGGTTGTAAAAATCGTCTTTAAAATCTGGTAAATGTTTTAATGAAAACATGATTTTGCTAAAGTTGGAGATTGTTTGTAAATAAATGAAGACCTGCAGTTTTATCACCAATAAACAATTTGTTAAACTTGGATTTTGCGCTTCGCTTTCTTTTAAGCAATTTATCTCGTTACGGTAATTATTAGAACCAGAAAATTTTATACATTTTTCCGATAGTATATTATATATTTCATCTTCATTACACAATTGTAAAGAATTTTCTTCTAAAACATTATTATATCTTATAGTTAGAAATGATTTTAAATTAAATTGTATAGTTATTGACCATGGAAAAAACCCTCGTGTTGAATGAGTGGTCACGGACTTTATTTCGCAATTTTTGGGAATCTTTTTTAAAATATTGTTATTCATTTCGGATTTATAACAGCGAAAATTGTACGATTTGTCAAATCTACCAGAATACGGACGGCAAAGATTATAGCTTTTATTTTTTACATGGCAACTTTTAGTAAAAGCATTATCTGGTGGGTCACAACGCATTATATGTCTTTTTATGTCGAAATCATTTTCTGTAATGCTAATATCACAATTTTCATACTTCTCTAATAAATGTTCTTTCAAAACATTGCTTTTTGACTTGCGCTTGCACATTATGCTTACATTAACAGGTTTAAATATATTAACACCATTACATTTTGCGCAAAATGGATTACGATATAAATAAAAGTCTGATCCAAAAACCGGAAGATGAAACTTATTTGTTTGGCTTAAACATTGTCTTGTATTTTCTTCATCAGCTGATTCTGTGCAAGTAACTACCATCCATACGTGCTCGCTTGTATGACCAGACAAATTTGAAACGGGCACAACACTTTTACAGTATAGTTCTTTATATGATTTTGATGCATTAATAAGAAAATCAAAGTAACCAGTCAGGTTTAAATTTAGTTCTTTACTCCATAGCTTATCGATGCAGCATGATTTTACTTTTAGACAGCTTGCACTGACATCGCAACATTCCATATTTTCTTCTATTTTCTTGCATAAGTATGCGCCTGGATTTAAAACAGAATTTTCAGGAAAGTTTATAAATGGAAAATTCCAAGTTGACAATAAAATCTGAATGACTTGAAAAAATAAAAATAAATGAAGTCTTTTTTTGGCACAAAATTTTACATGAAACATCTTGCTAGACAGAAAAAAATAAGTTTTAAAACTGCATTTTTTTCAATCTTCTATTTTTCTTCGAACAGCGATAGTTAATCTTCATGCACACGACATCTCCATGGTTAAAAAGAAAACAGAAAGGGAGGATTGGTGTTGAAGTTGGTTATTTATGATAAATACTTTGATTTAAGGACATATGATCAAATATTTAACAACCGTTTTTAACTTTTATCCAATAATTTTTATTAATGGATAATATTTTACCTAGAATTCAATTAGTAAAAATATATATAAAGTTCATAAAAAATAACGCAATAAGTGGGTAAATATTAATTTAGAAAATTAATGCGAATATTCACACTAAAGTTATTTACATCAAAATCAAAGATTTTCGTATTTTCTTAAGTTAGAAAATATATATATATATATATATATATATATATATATATATATATATATATATATATATATATATATTTTTTTGTTGTTTTCTTCAAACCTTCCTAAAGAAGTAACCATTAAAAGATTGGTATTAAAAAAATGGGGGAGGTAAATGGACTAAGATTTATACCAATTTTTCCATAAAGATGGTTTAAAAGTACTTAATTTCTTTTTAACAGAGGTATTATTTACTTATAATATTACGTTATTTATTTATTGCAGCACATATAATATTTTCTAAGTAAGTCTTAGTTGCAATTTTGATAAACTTGGTTACAATGGTATGAAAATAATTCTCACAAATACAAAAATAATAAGATGAAGAATATTAAATTGTTTTTTTTATGCTTCTCATAAATTTTTATGTGACATCGCGATAATAGCAGTTACATACTGGTTATACCACGATATACAAGTATTACAACACGTGTACCAACGGTGAAGCATCATTAATTTAATATAATAGTATAAAAATAAATAATGAGGTTAGTAAACATAGTTAACATAATAGTATAAAAATAAAATAATTTAAAAAAAATGAAATCAAAATTACTTGTAAATAAACATGTTTTTTTGTTTTTGTTTTTGCTAAATTTTCAATTTAAATAATAGGCGTAACTAACAGTAGAGATGGTGGAGCAAACTGTTCCAGGTGATCAAATCACAAAGACACATTTATATGTTTATATGTATGTATACACACGCGCGTACTCACGCACGTGCAGGCACAACTTTTAATGTCAAAATTATCAAATTAAATTCAAAAGTAGATTAAAATTTACCATTTGTAAAAAATCAAAAAAACAACTTTTTCAAGATTTTAACATGAAATAAAAATAGTTTTAGGTAAGCGTTAATTTGGCTAACAATTTTAAAATAAAATAATGATTTTGTAAGTTGAGGAGATGGATTTATTTTTTAGTTAATTTTTTAATGGTCATTTAAAATTACTTAAAATCAAAAGCGAAAAACTAATGTTGTTCCTGGTTACCAATTACGTAGGAACTTTTATCAAATCAAAACATGCCAAGTCAACATCAAAATTGGTTATACCTAACATAAAATAACAAGGTGACATGACCTGTATGTTCTTCTTTGAGTATCCGCGATCTTTATCTTTAACGTTAATATGTTAACGTAGATATGTTTAGCATGGTAGATATGATCTCTAATCAATTTAAAGTATCTTTTCTAAAACAAACTCAAATAAATTTAACGCTAGAGCAATTGATAATTTTATTTAAAGATTGAAAAAAAAACACTCTCCCAAACTTTCTCATTTTGTGATTTTTACACTTGAAAATAACTCTCACTAGTTCTCTTACCTCTTGATTTTTAAGGTCACATTGTGGTTCTTAAGAACGCATTGTGGTTCTTAAAAACACATCGTGGTTTTTAATGACCACAGATATTTGAATAAGTAAGCCTATTAAAAAATAAGTAAGCCTTTTAAAAAATTTATTTATTATTTTCATTTAAAACAAACCTTTAAGTAAGCCTTTGGCTTAGTTTTTCGACTAATCGTTTTAAATACAATATCAGATTTCAGCTAAGTTGAATGTACAATAATGTGCGGATTAAAAAAAGATCTTTGAGGTTCAGAGTGTTGTGCATATGGGTGCAAAAAAGGAAAAGAACTGAGGGATGAAGAAGCAATATTTTAGGAAGTTAATATAATAATAATATTATTATCTACAACATAATCTTATATAGTTATTTTTATAGATATCAGTTCTTAATTAACATTCATATATATATATATATATATATATATATATATATATATATATATATATATATATATATATATATATATATATATATATATATATATATATATATATATATATATATATATATATATATATATATATATATATATATATATATATATATATATATATATATATATATATATATACATATAAAGTTTAAACCCCCCTCAAATTGAGGGGGGTTTAAACATTATATAGTCATAATTTTTGAACGCTAAAGTATTTTACTATAAAACTTAAAATTTATCGATGAATATTAGTCTTGTTGAAAATAGTACAAAAAATATTTTATCAACTTGTTGCTCTCACGTTTGGGGCAGACTAGGCAAAAATTTTGGGGCTATGTTGTTTCCAAGCTCCAATTATCGCAATTTTTTGCAAAGCATCCTTATTTGACATAAGTATATATATATATATATGTTTGGAGTTTGTTCCATGTCTGGAAGTTAGCTATCTCAAAAACCAAAAAATACTAGCGCCGGCCCTGTATATATATATATATATATATATATATATATATATATATATATATATATATATATATATATATATATATATATATATATATATATATATATATATATATATATATATATATATATATATACACAAATAGATTGAAACAAATGTAAATCAGTATGCACCTTTTGATTCTTAATTACCCTCTGCAAAATGCCTGAGGCTTGTAACATATTTGCAAAGTAAACAGCTTACACATTGTTGTATGAATCATTAGTTGGGCTATGTGAGTGTAACACAACCCAAAGGTTCCTTAGGCAGTAAATAGTGATTATATATATATATATATATATATATATATATATATATATATATATATATATATATATATATATATATATATATAAAATACAAATAGATAGATACAAATGTATACCAGTATGCACCTTTTGATTCTTAATTACCCAGTGCAAAATGCCTGAGGCTTGTAACATATTTGCAAAGTAAACAGCTTATTCATTATTGTATGAACCATTAGTTGGGCTATGTTAGTGTAACTCAACCCGAATGTTCCTTAGACAGTAAATAGTAATTTTATATATATATATATATATATATATATATATATATATATATATATATATATATATATATATATATATATATATATATATATATATATATATATATATATACTTTAATAAAACATTTTAATAAAACAATTACTGGCTGTTGTTTCAGAAATTTCTAGATAATGGGTTACCCAAAAAACTTGTTAGTTTGCTTACATTTTGTAATCAACAAATGTTTGTTCGATGGCAAAAAACAAAATCAAATAGTTTTGGAGTTGTCCCCACTTCTATTTAACTTTTACATACAGAATATGATTTTATTAATCTCAAAACTACGTATTGGATGTAATATAGGTGGCTTACGCTGATGATATGGTTTTAATTGGACCATCTTGGTCTGCTCTTCAAAAACTAATTAGCTTTACAAATAAGGAAGCTTTCTTAATTAACATATCCTTTAACACAAAGAAAACTGTATGTATGGTGTTTAACCCAACTCAAAAATTATATCAAATTCCTTCTCAGAATTAGGCATATCAGGCTGTAAAATTGTTTTTGTTGAATCTTTTAAATAACTTGGCCATATAATTAAAAATGATCTAACTGATGATCTTGATATAACCAAGGAGATGAAGGGTCTTTACACATGTACAAATATTTTAACTAGACGTTTTCATTTATGCTCTACCAGAGTAAAGGTTAAATTGTTTAAATCATATTACATTTGTTTATATGGTGCTCCTCTGCAGCGAAATTATAATGATAAAACAATGGTACACCTTCATTATTGCTACAACAAATGTGCTAAAATGTTTTTTGGCTACAACAAGTATGATCTCATGCTTTTAAAGCACAGATTACTATCTCTTCATACAATTATCTCGAACTACAGACATGCTTTTTGTAAAAAGTTGATGGCTTGTTTCTTAGTAAATAATTCCATGTGTTCTCTTAATCAAAGTTTAAAAAAATATTTTTCTTGTAAAAACTATGGACCTGGCACCTAAATTGTATTTTCCTGTTGTCTGAAATATATTTATAATAATAATAATAATAATAATAATAATAATAATAATAATAATAATAATAATAATAATAATAATAACAACAATAATAATAATAGTATATATATATATATATATATATATATATATATATATATACATATATATATATATATATATATATATATATATATATATATATATATATATATATATATATATATATATATATATATATATATATATATATATATATATATATATATATATAACCCTGTCCAATACATGTCAATTTTTAGAAAAAGTGCTTCTTGGTGGGAAAGGAAAAGTGCCAAATATTGTCAGCAAATGGGGCAACCGTCTTTTGCACTAAAATTTATGACTTTTGTTTTTTGTTGAAAATCTTTATAATTTATTTATGTTTTTTTGTCACTAAATTCGAAAAAACTTCTGAATATTTGCAATATTTCTAAATTTTATTATATTTTATTGTGCTACTAGGCGATTTCTCAATTTAATTTTTGAAAATAGGTCTTAACGTTCAATAAACTTCAATATCACTTATAACGTTGAAATATAATAGTTGTAATAGTTAAATTTGTAGCAGAAAATTTGTATGATAACTCATAATAGTTTAATAAATTTGCTCATAATAGTTTCATATTATAGTTTTAACGTTATTTTCCAATTTTTTTAGTGTTGTACAACTTGTTTTTTTTTTGTACAACATTTATTGACATGTCTCTGATGTTTTATTATTTTATGTAAACTTTTTTGTATATTAATTTAATGTTATAAGATTTTAAACATCATTAAATAAGTTTTTTTATTGAGTTTCCAAATTGCAGTGGAATTAAAGAATCTAAACATTTGCATATAAGCAATATTATGTATAAATTAAAGTGTATATTCATTCTATCCTAAATATAAAACTTTATATGTTATATATATCCAACTTTATACGTGCTTGAAATCGTTATTGCGCAATAATTTTGAATAATTTATAATTCAAATAAAAAAGAAAGTACAAGTTAAAAAAGGGTTTTCTAGTTTCGGATTAAAGGTTTTTAAAAAAAGGGTTTTCTAGAAAACCCTTAAAGGGTTCCACCCTCGGGACAAAGTAAAAAACCTTTTAGAGCTATTTAAAAAACCCTTTTTTTTTACAGTTAACCGTATTTTACCGTACGCTTGAAAGGTTCTGTATTAAGTGAACATAGAAGTGGTAAATGGGTGTGTTATGACTTATTTGACATTTTATATAATGTTGATGGCACTTGAATTACAAAAAGGGACAATATTTAAGTTATCAAATAAAATTTTAACAATTGCGCTAAATCTTGGTAAAATTATATACATTCAATATACTTGGTCTTATTGCCCCGCCTTTTTTTTTTTTTTGCGATTTTTTTTTTAACTTCTTACCAGTCTTGGCACTAACAAAACTTTTTTTTTTCCGATCAAAATGCTATGCCTCGTATACAAATATGTTGTCTGTCATTATGAAAAAAAAAATTCTTGAATTTCATAATATTCATTTATTTCCATAGAAAAATCTGAAAGTATAAGTGAAAAAAGTGGTCTTAATGCCCTCCTTTGCCCTATATATATATATATATATATATATATATATATATATATATATATATATATATATATATATATATATATATATATATATATATATATATATATATATATATATATATATATATATATATATATATATATATATATATAGATATGTAGGTACGTGCACTGAAATTTTTATATTGATTATATAGTAGAATGTTATACATCATTAGAAAGGCCTTTAATACAGTATTTTAAAGGTGAAAAAATTATTAAAAACGAACAATTCTAAAAAAAGTTATAACATTTTTAGTAACAAATTTTAGATATATGGAATTGTTGAAGAAACTGTGGTCAAAATAATTATTTTTTTCACTTAAATTGTTATAACTTTGTCAATTTTTATCCAAATACCTATATCTTGGTATCACAAGATAGGTGCACTAATGGGCTACAAGTTCTTTTTGGTGCCTGGATGTAGGGTGTAACTTGGGAGCCAGAGGGGGTAATGAAACACCATCTAACCCTTAAGAAAATACAAGTTTTTGTCAGAAATAAGCACTTTTTAAATGTAATTGTTATATTTTATACACAAAATATTGCCATAACTTGATTCCAAAACACTGCCAAACAAAATAAGGTGATCTTAGAGTTGACCATAGATGTGGTTGTAATGTTATAACACCCTAAATACAATAATCATACTTTCTAATAAATAATTTAATCTTTTTTACAGTAATTTAATATTTTGTTAAAAAGTAAAAATATTTTTTTTTACTATAAAACATACATTAGTGATATACAACACTAACTTTAGGGGAGGGTGTATGTCGCACCGCCCCCCCCCCCTCGACTCATAAAAAATAAAAATAATTTTTTCTTTATTACAATAATTAAATGCATTGTTAAAAATTAAAAAAAATCTTTTATTACTATTCAACATATATTATTGATGCACACATTGACTTGAAATGAAGGAAGTATGATGCACCCCCTCCCCCCACGTGACAAAAAATAATCTTTTATAACTATACAACATACATTGGTATTGAAAATATTGTTGTATTACATAAAGCAATATTTTTTTTACTATAGAACATAATTTGAGGAGAGGGATAGTTTTCCCCCTTCCCCTCAACCAACATAAAAAAGAAAACACATAGAAAAGACATTTTCAACATTTTCACATGCAATTATTAAAAAAGAGAAAGCACAATACATAATTGTTTTACCAGATTACAAGTTGCACTAGTATACATTTTCTCATTTAAATGATCATATTTAACCCACCAACCTAATAAAAAAAAATAATAATAAAATGTTTTAAAACATAGTAATTACTCTATGTCTTGGCTTTTAGTAAATGATTTTAGTTTTAAGATCGAAATGACCTATAAGCTTCATATGTAAGCTCTAAAAACAAATAAAATATTAATGTATTTGTAATTCATGTAATTAAAAATTAAAAAAATTAAAATAAATACTTACCAAGACAGTTTGACTGAATATATATAAAGAATGATTAATGAATCAATGAAATTTTTAATAAAAGTTAATCAGAATAAAAACTCAAACATGTATAAGCTTCTGATTCTCCTTTTATAGCACTTGGAGAGATAACAAAACACAAAAGTATTAAATAGATGATATAAATAGGAATGAGAGGAACTCAATAAAAAATCAGAGACATTCTAGATTTATAAATTTACCGTTTAAAGGTGGTACAGATGGAACTAAAAGTAAAATTTGTTTTAATAAAAAATACAAATTGCAAATGGTAATAAATGCATTCATAGTCTAAAAAGTAATAATTTTTATATAAAAATGGTTTTAATTAAAAACCAGTTGATAAGAAATGCAATTGCAAAAAAGAATATGCAATTGATAAGAAATGCATACACATGTTAAAAGAAAAAAGGTTTTGAAACTTACCAGGCGTAGCCACACGTATAAAGAACTAAAGGTAAAAAATATATTATAAAAATCAATATTGCAATCAATGAGAAATTTGTGCACATTAAAAAGAGTTGTTTAGGTGTAGCACAAAAGGTAGATACTAAAACTACAATGTTGTAACAAAAAATCAATATTTTAAATAACGAGAAATGCATACACATAAAATGTAATAGTTTTTTAAATTACTAGTTGCAGCACATGACTAAGGAAATAAAGTTAAACATATTGTAAAGGAAATAAAGTTAAACAACTTTTTAATTTCACATTAAAAAGTTGTTTAACTTACCAAGTGTAACACAAAAGATAGATACTAAAATTAAAAAATTGCAGCAAATGGGAAATCCATACACAACAAGTAATAATTAAATAAGTAGGAAATACATATATTTATTTATATTTCTTTAATGGTTAATAAAAGTTATGCTATAATAACTTACCAGCTGTAGTCTGTGCATATTAGAATAATGATAACAAAAAAATTGTATAATCAAAAAAAAAAAGATCTTGAAATTGTCAACAGTCAATAAAAATAAGTTATTAAATCAGTTCTGCTTTACGTATAACAACTTTACTAACAAGAAAAAGGTATGAAAAAAAAATTAAAAACAAATAATATTACTGTATTTTAAAATTATATTACTGTATATTAGAAAGACACTAACAAGATATAAGAATAAACTTATTATTGTAAAAGTATCTTGATATTTTTACAAAAATAAGCTTATTATTATAAAAATATTTTGTCAAAAACGTTATTGGCTTAAGCCAATAATGTTTTACTTTAAAGTATAATAATGTTGTTTGTATATTTTTATATATATGGTGTATTAACAACATTGATATCTGATACTAATAGTTAATAAAATATTCCAAAGTAACAGTTTAATCTTAAATCCTAATCTTTTTTAATATACCACCATTGGTATATATTACCATCATTGGTATATATAGTTTAAAAAACCTTAATCTTTGTTTACATGCCATGTAAACAAAGATTAAGGTTTTTAAATTTATCATTGTTTTGTTTTTTAAAAAAGTTATTATTATCATGAAAAACATATTAACTTACTTTTTAAAGTTTTCTTTTCCATAACTTTACCATTTTTATTTGAATTTTAATCTAATATTAGGAATTAAAATAATACAATGTTGTAGTAATTTTTTGTTTACAATCCGCTTCCCCCCTATCCTCCCCCGTATTTCTCTTACTGATAAAACAAAAACAAAAAAAACCGAATTTAGGTACCGAAAGTCCTACACTTCTTAAACTATCTGCTCCCAATTATTTTTTGCTGAAATTTGGCATGTGCAAAGAAAATGCATGTAAAAAATTGCCTGAATAACAAAAAAAGCGGACACGACATTCCTTCGACAACAAATTAATGTGAGAACATTAACAAAATTTTCTTGAAAGTTTTCAGCAAAACTAACCATAAAAAAGTTTAGTGATTATACATAAAAGTACTATAAAAATCAAGCCTAACCTTTCTTCTTTCCAAATATAACTTTTATTTATATATGTTTTTAAAAAGAAACACCACAAAAAACGTTTGCCTAACCCTACCTAAAAAAAACAGTATATTTAATAAAGCACCTTGTAACATATCTGCTCCCAATTATTTTTTGTTGAAATTTGGTACATAAATAGAAAATGCATGTAAAAAATTGCCTGAATAACAAAAAAAGCGGACACGACATGCCTTCGACTGCAAATTCATGTGAAAACATCAACCAAATATTCAGGAGCAAAATAATCTGTTAAAAAGTCTAGTAACCATACATAAAAGTTTTAAAAAAGTAAAGATTAGCTTCTCTTCTTTCCAAAAAGTATCTATGTGTATATATGTTTCTAAAAAGAAACACCACAAAATTACGTTTACCCCACGCTGCCTAAAAAGAAGTGAAAAAAACGAGTAACAAAATTTTAGCAAAAAAATCGGTTCCGTAAATCACGATATGCGCGTACCTAATATATGTATATATATATATATATATATATATATATATATATATATATATATATATATATATATATATATATATATATATATATATATATTAGTAAAAAAACTCATCTAACCAGGAAGAAATCTTTTTTCCTGGTTAGATGAGTTTTTGAAGTTGAAGACAAAAATTAGATAAGTGTTTTAATTATTTTATTATTGCTGTTCTTAAGAACATTGAGCACTCTGTACTTGCAAAAACGCTCTAGAATAACCTAACATAATTTAAAAAATGAGTTGATGAACAGATGAGTTTTTGAAGTTGAAGACAAAAATTAGATAAGTGTTTTAACTATTTTATTATTGCTGTTCTTAAGAACATTGAGCACTCTGTACTTGCAAAACGCTCTAGAATAACCTAACATAATTTAAAAAATTAGACATTAATAATTATACCTGTATTTCTTTTATTTTCTTTTTTGTTTTTGAGTACAATAATTTACAAGATTTATTATTATTCAACCATTAATTATCAGGATACAACTGATAAATGTAAGTTGAAATAATAATTACTTTAATAAAACTACATGTGTCTTTAGATCTTTCATTGATCTTTCTTTGATTGATGAAAAACAATAAACGCTTAAATATCTTGTAACGTATGTCACCAAAATAGCAGAAAAACAACTTAGTAACAACATATAAACTTAGTAGTTATATAAGTTAAAGCTTTTCATACTTTTTATAAGTGGGATAAAAGTTTGTGAAGCAGCAAAACTAAAACTTGTTAACAGAACTAAAACTTGGTAATGTATGATTATCAATTTCAATCTACTATAATATAAAACTTGGTAATGTATGATTATCAATTTCAATCTACTATAATATAAAACTTGGTAATGTATGATTATCAATTTCAATCTACTATAATATAAAACTTGGTAATGTATGATTATCAATTTCAATCTACTATAATATAAAACTTGGTAATGTATGATTATCAATTTCAATCTACTATAATATAAAACTTGGTAATGTATGATTATCAATTTCAATCTACTATAATATAAAACTTGGTAATGTATGATTATCAATTTCAATCTACTATAATATAAAACTTGGTAATGTGTGATTATCAATTTCAATCTACTATAATATAAAACTTGGTAATGTATGATTATCAATTTCAATCTACTATAATATAAAACTTGGTAATGTATGATTATCAATTTCAATCTACTATAATATAAAACTTGGTAATGTATGATTATCAGTTTCAATCTACTATAATATAAAACTTGATAATGTATGATTATCAATTTCAATCTACTATAATAAAGTCTATGATATTACTTTTGCAGTCGCAGAAGAAACTAACATATCCTGAGTTTTTTAAAAACTATGAAAATTTAAAACCATTTAAAAAATCTTTGATACAATATTTTTTTTGTTATGTTATACAATTATAAAGTTACTTTCTCACTGCTATTATAAAGTAAGATTGCATCAAGTTGTAACAATAAACATTCTAAAGTAACCAGAGTAAATATTAATTTTGACTTTCAGCAAAGTAGTTTCATATCGAACATAAGAAGATTAATAAAGGTAACAAGTTTATACAAAAAAAAATACAAATTATTAAATAGTCTGTTCTCCTATATTCTTTATTTCCATTCAACTCTAATTTTTTTCGTGCTTTTTTTTTTTTACTTTTTCAATTTTCAAACTTTCAAACATTTTAAATATAACATTATGATTAAAATATGCAACTTTAATCTAGTCAATGTAAAAGAAGTAGTAAGTAAAACAATAACAAATCTTCAAGCGCAATCTCTGTATTTTCAAATTCCGTTCAGCGTTCTGGGGCTTTCCAATATGGCGATTTTGGCGTCAATTTTGATATTAGAGATGCGCTATCCAGTTATTATAGAGATCAGTGCCGATAACCAGATTATTCGTTTACAAATACAACTTTTGCACTCTACTGTAGCTTTTTTTGCTTAAACTCTCTCAAGCGCAATTTGTTAATCGATTCGTGATTAACAAGCAAACACGTGTTTTAAAAGTCTATTATTAATATTATTATTATTGCTATTATTATTATTATTATTGCTATTATTATTATTATTATTATTATTATTATTATTATTATTATTATTATTATTATTATTATTATTATTATTATTACTATTTATAACTAGACGAGCGTTAATGCTCAATTGAGTGTTATAAAAACAGACATCACTGATCATTTTTCGGTCTTTTAAATTACTAATTCTACAGATTCTACATATTCTCCGTAAGAAATAACAAATAAAGAATTTTTAGTAAACTGGTAATATCACGATATACAAGTAGTAAAATTTTGTCATCTTTTACAAGAAACCAATGACTGATTGCAATGACGTAAGTAATGGTTATAGCTTTTTTATTCGAGTGTTCTATAAGTAAGGTGCCATTGTTTTTTACTTAGGAGAACGCAGCGTTAAACAGCTGAACTTCAGGAAAGGCGGACGCTTTTTTATAACGCATTTTATAAATAAATTTAAAGAGAAAGAAAGAAAAAGGAAGATAAATAAACAGGGCCGACGACATCGAGGGGAGGGGGATCACAAACCCTACTTTTTTTCTAAAGAACCCTTTTGTTTTGTTTTTTTAAAAAAAAGAAAGAAAATTCTAGATATAGAGGACCTTTTTTGCAATTTACGATTGTGTCGTCGACCATGATAAAAAAGAATAAAATAAGAAAAATAAAAATAGATAAATAAAACAAAAATAAAGAAAGTGTAGAATAGAAAAAGAACGAAATAAAAAAGCAAAAACCATATACAAAAAATTAAAAACCAAGTCAAACAAATTAACAAAAAAAAAAAACGAGAAAAGAAACGAAAAAAGAAAAAAGAAAGACAAAAAAGTTAAAATAAAAAAAACATTCGAAAATGGAATGTAATTAAAAAGAATTAAAGCAAATTATAAAAACTTCGAGGGACGATATGTGTTTACTGGGTATTATGATATGATTTACTATATTATTTGAATATTTTCCTTTATTATGAAAACTCTATATTTTTCGTGACTAAATGTTTGTGTGTGTGTGCGCGCGTGTGTGTGTGACACGTTTTTATTTGTGAGTATTATTGAAATTTTTTTTTTCGTTTATTAGTTGTTATTTTTTAATAAGTTATTTTATATTACTTTTATTGTTTTAGTTATGATTGATATTAAGATTGTTATATTTATTAAATGATTGTTTCTTTTTTTGCAGTTTTATTTTATTTACATGTTAGGCTGTTGCATTTTGTCAGTATATAACTTTCCTATTTGTGCATAATATTGATTTTTGTTTTAAAATTAATATTGGTTTATTATTATACAATTTTCTTATTAATCTTATAATTGTTAACTTATCATCAATATAATTATCATTATTATTTGTATTATTAATACTACTTCGTGGTTTTTACTTAAGATTAGTTTGTAACTACTTGTAAATAACCTCGATTGTAAGATCTTTTATCGAAAGATATTGATTGATTGATTGATGCAATAATGAGTTACGTAATTTAAAAAAATTAGGCAACGTTGTATTGTCTGATTTAAAGTGTTTAAAGTGTTTAAAAATTAAAATGACAACCTGTTATCAAACGTTTGAGAAAAAATGGACTAAGACAGGAACATACCGGCATCGCTTCATTGACACCTACTCTACTTGTATGAGTAAAAATTTTAAATTTACTGATCCTAAATTTCAAAATGTCCCAAACAGCTTCAAAATCAGACCTGGCTGGCCAATAAAAACTTTC